TTTTTTTTTTAAATTAACACCTAATTAAAATTTAATCTGAAACACACTTCACTATTAAACTGTATTAAAATATAAAATTTCCATTGAAAAGAACTATCACATTATTAAAATGACTAATTATAACAGTTGTCAAGTTATTCATTGAAGCAGTAACTCAATCTAGATTGAATTTGGAAACAAAAATTGAAAAATTAGACTAGAAAATTATATTATACACATCACTTGTCTGCTGCTTTTTCATTTACAAAAGTTGATGTCAAGTTTTAGATCATTTCTGATTATGCAATCGTTTTTACACAGGATAAGAAGTAAATTAGCGAAATTTGACCTCACCCAGTGATTAAATAATAAAAAGGAAACAAAACAATTTGACTTAAAAAAGACTAGATTGACAAATTTTGTGACAAACTCTTGTGCTATATTGAATCTATTTATTATGGGCCTGTGAATATGTTTAATTCAAAAATATTCCCTGGACATCATCCATCGATGGTGCAGTGAAGTGTTCGTCCAGAGTTACGAATGGCATCAATCTTTCACCATCATCGTTTCCTGGAAGGATAATTGAAGACAGATCAACTTCATCGTCATGTAGCCACTCAACATCCTCTGAATGTGCATTTTCTCTTCTGGCAATAACTGCCATGAGTTCTCTTTGCCTTCTAGCAGCGATTCTCAAAGGACTGATGCGTTTCATCTGAGTTGATTCTGGAACAGTCTGGGTTGGCACATTCACCCTAGCCCGAGCTCTGTGTTGTCAAGCATGTTTCTTCGACATTGTTTGTGAGGCAAATTATAAGTGACATGCTATGCAAATTCGATCAAGTAAGCTGGTCTGCAAAGATGGACAATAAAGATCATATAGTTGTACTTTGAAAACTCCTGTTGATCTTCGCAAGGCTGTACATAAAACAAGGCTTCGCAACAGCATACTAGTGCTCCTAGCGAGAGGAATCGTGAACAACACATTCAAGAGATACGCATTTCATGCTATTTTGACATAAAACTAATTCAAATGTTTCACAAAATTTTTGAAAATTATTTATAAAGCTATTAAATTCTACTAATAAAAAAAAAAAAAAAAAATAGACAAAAAATTTAAAAAATAAAAAAATGTGAGACCCCCACCATGGCCCCACCCCCCCCCCCCTGTCCCAAACTGCCACACTTTCTTACCCCCCCCCCCCCCCCCCCTCTGGATCGTAACGTACTTTATGGACGGCCTCTAACGCAACACATAAGAGTCCCATATAGTGCTCCCCCTTCCCCTAGTCTTTGACAGTTTCGCTACTCTGCAGACACGCATATTCTTTATGTTCCCCAAAACTCGCAACCGCATATTTTCGTCACGCCCCTGACTTTATTAATATTCTAATGACCCATCCGCTTTTAATTCTGATTCTGCTGATAGGGTACGTTGCTGCATCCATGATCTGGCAGATGTGCAACGGTTTGGGAAACGATGCGGCCATCCTAAACACGGCTCCCAGCGGGTGCCAGGGCAGCTTTGAAAGTCTCGATTGGTGTCGAGTCCACGGTGGCATTGTTCAGTTGGTTCCAAGAAATTATTGTTCGTGGGAAGAATTATTGTTTATATTGGACTGTGTTATACCGAGGCACAGTGAAGCATTTACTATTGTTCCGGATGTAACTGCTCATGGAGTGGTCAGAGGTGAAGTCAGTGTTTATTGAGGGTTTGGCACTGATTAAGCGACCTGGCTTCTGTGTTAAATGAAAATAAATATGTGGTGTACAACTTAACTATTTAAGAAAATCAAAAGAAAATATTACGCATTAAATGCACTTGCGATATATTTTTTTTAAAAGAATCTCCTGCTCATCTAGCGCAGTTATCGGGAATTTTATTTCGGGAAATCAGTGTTGTCATATTTCCTTTCTTGTTTCCTTGAAAAACAGGAAAACTGAAAAAAAAATTCGGGGGGGGTGGGGGGGGGGGTGGGGGTGGGGCGGGAGCTGAACATTTGACAGAATGTGATGTCCTAGACAACAAGTCTTATCCGTCCGAAGATTTTGCCAGCAGGCCAGCCACCCACGCCCCAAAGGTGAATTTAATATAAAGGTTTTAATTTATTTTTAAAAAAAAAAGCACTCACAAAATAGTGCGATTATACGAAAATTTGAAAAAAAAATGTTGATCGTGTGATCTGAGTATTTGTGTGTTAAAAATAACATGTACCAATGCAGTATCTCCTTAAATGTGAGGATTGCTGAAATGTCATATTATGAATAGTGCACTGAAACATGAAACCAGCCGCCACTTAAGCCCCTACATTAAAAAAAAAAGAAATGTAGAGTTTTAAATATATATATATATATATATATATATATATATATATATATATATATATATATGTATATATTTTTTATTGACCAGGATGTTTTGTTATCATTATATGTACTGCTGTGGACAACTGCATATGCAAGAAAAAATTTGACTTCAGCCTTCAGAATGGCCGTAGGCTTTGCTTGCCTAAATACATTTTTACAACTAAGAGTTACTATTTGAGTTTGTTCTACTAATTGGTTGTAAAGATTCGAACTAGAACAAGAGGGGTGGGCTAAGGGGGATGCTAGAGTCCTCAGTTAAGATGGGTAGGGGGTCGTCCATTATCTATGTCAACAAAATAAGGGGGAGGGATTTGGAAATGTTTGACAATTGTTGACAAGGGGGAGGGAAAGGGGGGGGGGTGTAGATTAGTTGACGTCAGCAATCAGGATTTCCCTATTGCAATTTTTATCTTAAAAGTTGACTGGTTATTACATTATTTTAACTTTAACAAATTTAATGAGTGTACATTAAAATAGTTATATAATTTTTAGTTATATAAAATTTTAACCTGTTGATTAAACAAGCTAAAGATGCGATAAAAAGTTTTTCCTCAAATTTTGTGTTATTAAAATAGATCAGCACAAAGTAAAATGTATTTATATATTTATTTATATTATAATTCATTTGGAGGGGGGGGGTATAGAAATGTTGACATGATTACTGAAGGGGTCATTGAAAGTTTGACCGTTGTTGAAAAATTGCTAAAAAGGTTGACCTAATTAATGGACGCCCCCTAATTTGAGTAATAAATTAAAAAATTGATAAGAAGTTGAGAGTTTCAAACTTTGTTTATTTGTGTATATTAAAATATTTGTTTTGATATTAGACAAATGTTCAAAGATAAAGACAAATTTTCAAGGATAAAGACAAATGTTCAATGATAAAGACGCTTAGTAACCGTGCAACAGGAACACAATCATCCATTGATAAATATACCCGATCTTATTTCATGCGGAAAAACTGCAGTAGAATGCGATATTAAAAGCTAAAAGTATTGGATTATTTTTAAACTCAGCATCATAATAAATGACAATAAAAAAGCACACATTAAAAATGTGAAGTTTCAAGCGCTAAAAAATTAGACGTGTGATGCATACCTTATATAAGAACATATCATCAGACTTAGTATTTTTATGACAGATAGTCAAAATCTTCTTGAACAAACTGAAGAGGAGCAAGGTTTATGGAAATAGATTTTATAATATTTCTACTCTCGTACACATTTATAAGAGTAGTAGTAGTATGATATGTTAAGTCTTTTTGTTTTTAAAATACGACAATGAATTTGAGAGACTGAAATCTTTAATCAGATCAACAGACATGGTGATAAAACTATGTCTCATGTGACATCAACATCATATGGCATACAATAGTTTTTAGATAGCCACAACAAGCTTTTATTCAAAGTCTAAAATATACAGTATTTATATCTATTTGAATTTGATTTTAATATTTTTAAATTTAAGTTTACCAAGCAAATGTGAGATTTATTTGAGACCCAATAAAAGGTTTTCTCATTAAATAGAAATTCTATCTCAACTAGTCATATTTGTTTGTGTCAAGTGATGTCCTTGCTTTTCAGGCCAAAGAAACCTTACAAAAATACGAACCCTACACTGTACCTTATAAAATAGAAATTGCTTTTAACCTAACATAGAAAATTACAACATTTAATAGAAAGAGAGCAGAAAACAATGGCAGGCAGTAGTTTTCCAAGCTTGAAATGTGGAAGGACACGGAATAGAAAAAAAAACAAACTTCAGTGCAATAAAAATTATTGAAAATTAATGTTCCTGGTTTAAAACTCATGGAATCATATAAATATATGCAAATATGCGAAGAATAAATTTTCTTTGAAGGTAGATTAACATTGTTTGACTGCGATAAAGCTTTCCCAATTACACCCCCTCCACCCCCAGTGCGTACGTAATATAATACTACTATAGTATAGAAACTATTATGATACCGGCATGAGAAGGAGTATGATACCAGTGGAGTGTTTTGATTAAATGTCACGCATGGCGATCTCCAAAAATTTCAGACACGACGCACATATATGTGATTTAATTTTGGTAATATTAAATAGCAAAAAATCCCCCCTCCCCCCCCCACCAAAAACAACACGTACGCCATGGGCGCCCGCAGAAAACTTTCTAGGGGGGGTGCAAAAAAGATCGATTTACTTTCCAGGGGGGGGAGGGCAAAAATTTTTTAGTAATGTTTTAATATAGTTTTAATTTACTGCAGCGTATTTGTATGGTGAACGAACGGACAGGACATCAGCTTAGTTACTTTCTCTTTATTTTCTCTTTACTTTAATACATTTTTTGTCGATTTTTGTCTAATTTTTTTTAATCCAATCAATCGGGGGGGGGGGGGGGGGGCAAGTACCCCCTTGCCCCTACCTGCGGGCGCCCATGACGTACTCCACTGGCCGGGTCACATTTACTCTAATTGGTCCCGGTTTCAACACTTAAAATCATGGTAGACCTAAATTAACTGTCATTTAGAGATAAATAAATTAAATTACTGAGTACTTTTAAAAATAAATTAACGGATTATTTTTCTAATTGTAATGAATAATGAAAACGAATTTAACTTGAAATATATATCATCTTTTGTAATCTGTGTCTCTATTACGATTTTTTTTATCACCAACAGTAAATCTGGCAAGGTGTACGTGTTGGATCATTTACATTTACTTCCGGGGCTTTTGTAAACATGGCGTTCAAGCTAACCGGCTTCTTTGCTCTGCTTTCATTATGTGTTGCCACTCTGCCAGGCAAAAGAACTCTTGTCCTAGTTGATAATTGGTCAATTCGAGAGACACATTCTGTGTTTTTCAGATCGCTTAGAGGTTTGTTGAATCTTAATTTTAAATCTGTCATCTTCCAAAGAAGTAAATCTATTAACACAATTCAGTAACTTCTGTCCAAGAAGACACGTCATCAGTCTGATATTTTCTTGGCCGACACCATTTCAGACCTGTTTACCGTGCCGTAGTAATTACGTTAAGAAGACTTCTGCACTACGACGAAGCTCCCCCCGCCCCAGCCAGTAGATCAGTAGTCTAAACTACTCTTTTTTTTTTTTAGCTTGAAACTACATTTTTGAGAACTGAAAGCTACCCGACACTAAGTTATGAGTTCCACTAAGTTCGGCTAAAATTAAGGACGGATGCCACGGCGTCTTTTGACACTTTTGTGTGTTTATTATAGTTGCAGTGAATTAGGTTTTAGGTTAGGTTGAGGGATCAATTTAGGGTTCAGGTTAGGCACAGGGATAGATTTAGGGTTCAGGTTAGGCATAGGGATCTTTTTAGGGTTTTTTGTATGAAAATAAAATCAGAAAACGAACAAAAAATCAATATTTTACTAAACATTCCTTATGTTTATGAGTACTAATACATAAAAAAATAATTCTTTAAAATAAACAAAGAGAAGTGACTCCTACACGGCAACTGAAATAATCATGTAAATGACGTCATGGCACCAATACTCAGCATTGACCAAAAGTAGTAATTATAATATTTGATTGTGCGGGTGGCTTGAGACTTGCAAGATCGCACAGGAACGTCATACCTATACACATTTTCTTTGGTATGATTAGAAATTAGAAAGTACAGTACTTTGCCGATCACTGTTCTGTAGTTTTTAAGTGACCTCAGTAAATATAATTAATTTCTCTTTTTGTCGTAATGAAAGCATTGGAAATTGATAGATCCTGTCAATGACGTTGAGTAGGCATGCTAATGTATCAATAGCAGCGGTGCTCAACTTGGGGGTCGAAGGACCCTTTCACAGGGGTCTTCTAAGACGATGTGAAAATACATATACTCCACAGTTATGAAGAATCAACAAAAATAATTTTTTTGTTGGGGGTTGCCACAACATGAGGAACTGTATTAAAGGATCGCAACTTTAGAAAGGTTGAGAACCACTGATCAATAGAAAAAAGACTTTTTTTATGCTTAAGGTGACACAGCAAACATGATTTTAAGTTTAAATAGTGAAATACGTTTTTTATAAGAAACATCAATTTAATTTCGGACCCAATATACATTATAGTTTATCCATTTTAAGATTAAAAACTAGCTAGTTATATGTTAAAAATTCTTGCCCTGGAAATAAATATTCAAGCCTAAAACATTTCACCAGTATTCGAAAATAGAAACTCTGCCATTTTTATAAATAGACACCTTGAAAGTGGCTCTTGAGCACTTTCAATATTAATGATATTATATACAAAAGTACTTAAATATTTTTACCATAAAACAATGCTTCCCATGAAAAAAAAATACTGTCATTTGACAACTTAAATTGATTTTTCAACTCTAGCACATGAATAATTAAAGCTTTTCCTGAACAATGGTGAATGTTTACACACACTGGTCTTCAAAGTTATGAATGAAACTGAGAATAATGCTATAGTTATATACTAGTGACTGTGAATAGTTGTCCATGACAACATGTGCACATGGAAAATTATGATAATTTATAATATAGACTCTTCCATTGTTGTTTAAATGCCTTCTTAGTTAATAATAAAACATACATTATCAAATTACTGTGTTGTGAATGGTCACTAAAAGTTGTAATGATTGAATAATTTATGTGCAGCTTGGTGAGCCCAGCCCTAGGCTGGGGTACCACGCTATACAAGACCACTGTAATAAAAATAATATTTTGATTATTGGAGACTGCCTCCATTGCAAAAGGTGCATTGGTCATGTCCATATTGTTTTTAAGAATTGTGACTCCACCCCTTTCATGCATTTCCTGCCAAGGAGATGTGTTTTGGGGCCAAGTCCAAGCTGTGCCAAAATATAGTCTTCATCCCTTGTCTTTACCTGCATTTGTTGTTGGTTGTCAGACGAATTTGTTAAGTCACCTGCAAAGTCAATAGCAAGGCTATGGTATAAGGCATCCTTGTCTGACTCATATTTCCATTGAAAGGCATCTGAGTCTACCTCCATGTACCCTCTGTGGCCCCTAAACAAAGTGGTAGTATTTTATGTGATGAATCAGACATTTATGTGGATTAAGTATTAATTTTTTCTGTAATGAGATTAACTTCCCTGTTAATTACAGATCTTAGAATCTAAATTAAAATAACTTACATTCCTATATAAAAAAATGCTTATCTTTTATTATAATCACACAAATTTAAAAATAACATACGAACAGCATTTGCTAATACCCAAAGGCCATTTAGCAAAAAAATATGAACTGTCAGATTACAGATTATCTGCCAATTAGTCAGTGCCTATCAATGTACAAAATGAATAATTTTATGATTTATCTTATTCTGTTGAATACAGGTGGTTGCTTTCCTCTTTTCACTTTGTTTTGTTATGGTAGAAACTTGTTTTCCCCAGATATTGGGTATGACTTGACCTTTAAAACTGCTGATGATGCCACCCTGGCTTTGGTCAAATATGGTGAATTTCTCTATGACAACCTGGTCTTGTTTTCTCCTTCGGTTGAAGGTAAGGATTGAAATGATAAAAGTAATTTGTGTACACATAAAATTTAATAAAATCCTAGTTCTCTCTCTTTTACAATTTGAACCACCTGTTATTTTAAATTGACCCAAAAACATATGTCTCACATTATTTAAAACATCTACAATTAATATTATGATGGAATTTAAGCAACATCAGATTGATCAAACCTTTTTTCAATATTTTTTAATGCCAATGGGTCAACTTTCTTTCGTCAATAATACAATGAAAATGAAATATATGTTTTCTGTCTAAGATTTTTCTGTTTATTTCATTTATATTATTAACTACCATTTTTCCTGGCAGAATTTGGAGGGTCTATTGATGTCTCAGCTATTACCAACTTCATAGATGGCGGTGGAAATGTTCTGATTGCTGCCAGCTCATCTATTGGTATGATATATTAATATCTTGTGAAACATTCCCCCTACTTTTAATGTCAATTATAATTTTAAAGAAAGTATTAATGGTTGATAATTTTTATCTTTGACAATTGAAGCTAATGTTTGCTTTAGGGTTTTGCATTACGAAGTGGCTATTCATACCCGGGTACCAGAAGTGAGAGGTTGGGAATAAAAAGATATTTAAAATTTTATTGTTGGGTTTGTAGGACAAAATTAGGTATCAAGTGAAAGATAATTGAATGGACAATATGTTTGTAAACTTAATTCTTCAGTTTAACTAAAATAAACTACCACAAATGATATCCGAATAGCACTGAGTCAAAATGGACCCAGACACGCAGTGCCTTCATTCACACCCGTGTGCCATTAGACTCAAGCTATTCGGATGTCATTTGTGGTAGTTTATTTTAGTTAAACTGAAGAAGTAAGTTTACAAAAATATAGTCCATTCAATTATCTTTCATTTGATACCTCATTTTGTCTTACAAACCTAACAAAATTTTAAATAGTTTTTTAATCCCACCTCTCACTTCTGGTACCCGGGTACGAATAGTCGTAGCCTTTGCATTATTGTTGATTGATTACATAATTGCTTTATATATTTAAATATCATGATTTTAGTGGAGAAAAAATTTAATTTCCAGGTGACCCCATGAGAGAAATCGCCACTGAATGTGGGGTTGAGTTTGATGAAGAAAATAGTGCTGTTATTGATCATCTTAACTATGATGTCAAAGATGAAGGCAAGGTAAAAAAAAAAAAAGAGGTTTTTTGTTAGGGCCAGGGGGTTTGCATTTTTTTTTAGAGTGGGGAGTACTTTTTTTAAATTTTATCTGCTTAGAGCACTTTAAGGAGCTGTAAGATGGGGAGGATGTTGAAATGTTGATATAGGTTAGCAAAAATAAAAAAGAGAGCCTTCAATACATTCAAAGAGTCACATGCAGCTCCTGTGCAGCCGGTTGCCTACCACTGTGTTAGGTGTAGAAAATTATATGTGACGCCAATTATAACAAATAGCTCCGCTTTATGTAACTGTCAAAGAAGTAGACTGGTGAGGTTTGTGTTTATATTCTTGTTAATTTCTGTGTTAAGCTTATCTCCTGTATATTTTTATGTTCTATTTTCATCACAGCACACTTTGATTGTTGCTGACCCAGAAAACTTAATGAAAGCCTCAATGATCGTGGGCGATAAGAACACATCACCATTTCTTTTCAGGGGTGTAGGGTAGGTTTTTTAATAACATTTTTATACCCAGTACTCTTTTAAAATTCTTTAAAGTTATCTTTTTGGGGTTTCTATTTATAGTTTCAATTTCCTAAATAGTTGCCTATATTAAAAATATAATGGATATAATGAAAATGGTTTAACTTGTTTTACAATGAAGAAAATTATATACTTTTTTTTTCTATGGTGTTGTTTCTTTTGTCAGCATGGTGAGTGACCCAGACAATCCTCTAGTCTTAAGTTTACTCAGAGCCTCATCTACAGCATATTCCTACAAGCCTAATGAGAAAATTGATGAGGTGAGTTTTTTTTGTGGTGAGATTTGTATTTGATTAGCTCAATCTAAATAAGACAAGCGACCACAAATCTATAAGAAAACAAATTATTGTTCACAATGGCACTGTTTTTTTGGGGGGGGGTTTTTTGTCTCGTAAAAAATAAAGGGATTAACATTTTATGTGTGGTCTATGTAGTGATGCATTTTTAAAAAGAAAGGTCACGATTTTAAACTATATGTGCTAAATTCAACTATTCATGCAACTGATCTAAAGGTACCACTACTAAACAGGTACTACCTGCTTTTGTAATAACTGTCTTTGTCTTGCTACTTTACTATAATTGAAGTGCTGCAGAGACTGAAAAAAAGGATTTTACTTTTATTTTCAGTTCCCCATGGCTGTGGGTAGCAGCACCCTCCTTGTGGCAGCCCTACAAGCTCGCAACAACGCTCGTGTTGTCTTTGTTGGTTCCTTGGACTTCTTCAGTGATGAGTTCTTCCAAGCCAGTGTTCAAAAGGCCAATGGTGGAAAGAAGTAAGTTATGCTATTTACAAGTCATATACTGTATGTAAGTTTCAACAATAACTTCATGACAAGAGAACCATAAAATCTGATGTTTTTTAAAATAAGTAAAAATGAATTAACTCTTTACAACTGTATTTAAAAAATTGAAGGAATAAAAGGAGTTATTCTGAAACAGATTTGACAAGTCTGGCAATGAAGCTTTGGCCCTCAGCCTGGCTCGTTGGGCTTTCAAGAACAAAGGTGTTCTTAGAGTTGGCAAAGTGGCTCACCACCTGAAAGGAGAAAAGGAGCCACCCCAGGCATACACTGTGATGCAGCAAGTGGTAAGTTTTATTTAAGATTCCGTTGAGGGTTAAAAAAAAGCAGGATATAGCAGACATGTATTATTTAGTTTTTTTTTTTTTTTTGAAGGTTTATTTCTGGTGGCTTTCTCATTTTTTGTATGTGCTGATCACATAGTTATAAATTGCCTGTTTGAGCCAAGATAGATTCAGGCGGCTATTTGAGGGACCATTGGTTTTTGCTAGAATATAAATAGTTGAATAGTGCTGAAAGTGCTTAGATAACATTTACGTATGATTCATCGATAACCACATTTAATGTAACAATGTAGCTTCCACCAGTTGTGGCTTCCAAAAAAAGAACAAGTATTTTATTGAAATTTAATCATTGAACAGTGATGTATAATCTGTTGTATTGACGCAGAAATGTAAAAGGATTAAGTTTTACTTCCACTTTAAATTTAAAAGCGAAAAATAGCAGTTTATTTATAGTTGATGCCAACAGTTAACCATGGTGATGGCAGCAGTGAACTTGTGAAAATGTGTTGTTTATTGTGTTGTTTAACTGAGGTTTAATCAATGTCAAGGTTATTCACAATTAAATCATGATTTTTTAACTCATTCATTGGAGTGTCATGAAGCTGCATGCTGTTGTGTATCACTGTTACCTATCACTTGTCACAAATTTGATCACGCTGACTATTATTATTATTATCATCATTTAAAGCCATTTTTTAAAACTTTCAGGACTACTCTATTGTGATTGAGGAGCTTAATAATGACAAGTGGACCCCCTTCAAAGCAGATGACGTCCAGTTGGAGTTTGTCAGAATTGATCCTTTTGTTCGCACAACTTTGACTCCTAAAGGTATTTAAGGTTATTAACTCATTTGTGACAACGGTGCTACTTTCGTACTTAATTTAAATTCAGAGAAAGGGAAGTAACTCTGTTTTACTATTGATTTACATTTGTAAAATATTTCTTTAAGCTTCTAAATATTAATTTATATTCATGAATTAAGGAAGAATGCATCCACCAATGAATAAGGTTTAATAAAAAAAATATAACATTAACCGCCTAGATAAAAACTTTCGGTTTTTAAATTGAAATCATGCATTTACTGAAATTCTCAAGGGGCGAAAGATGTCGTTGCTATTTTAAAATAAATATGTGGCCAATATGCCCCTCTCCATGGTGTCACGGCCGACTTAAAGAGCAGCTAGCAAAATCGCCAGCGAAAATGTGAATGATTTAATATATATTGATTAAGGGGAAAATCACTAATTATAAATGAATGTGATTCTTATTTCCATAACTATCTTTATGTTAACATGCTTTTATAAGGGATTTTTTGTGTTTAATCGGGTGTGAAATTTTCTCACAAACATTTTACAATCATAATATCTCATGCCAGCTAGGGTCCACTATTAGTTTGCAAAATCTACACAGAATTTCTTTATTGGGATTATTTCAAAATGTATTAAAATGAAAGCATTGCTTTCAGAGATATTCCACGTGCTAATAATGACATCATTAGCTTTAGCCGTGATGGTGACACAAGATTCAGATATTGACATGTTTATCCCTAAGCTTAGTTAAATTTTTACAGACCAATTCGTTAGTTAGAGGGTGGAAATCAAACAGAAAAAGACAAAGATTAGGCCCCAAAGACTTACCCCAAAGTCCTTTGTTTGTTTTTGTTATGAAGTATTAATTAATAAAAATAAACAGTTTTAATAACTTCAATTGAAAACTGATTTTTGAAATCATTTTGTGCCCTCTCCCTTGTATTTTGTATGACAAAAAGTATCTCTAGGGCTCAAAAACTTATTTTATGATAATGATAGTTTGGTCAATTTATGGAGTATTATATTCCAGTTTGGGCCGAATTTAGATGTTGAGAACTAAAATTTTATTCACTCTGTAAAGGTCAAGGTCAATATCAACATAAGGCGAAAACATTTTTTTTCATACCATAAGACACCTTGAACAATGTACTTTCAGAACATATATACTGGTAAGGGTCTCTGAATACATTTGGTGTGGGATTATGTCATTTTTGACAAGCATGTGAAAATGCTACAGTAAAAGAGTCAAGTGTGTAACCTTTACAATGTTTCATGGCTTTAATTATGTTTATTAGTTTTTGTCATTGCTTTAATTTGTTTTTCCAACAGATGGTATCTTCAGAACAAGCTTCAAACTGCCGGATGTGTATGGTGTGTATCAGTTCAAAGTAGATTACAACAGAGTTGGCTTCACACGTCTCTACAGTGCTACTCAGGTTAGTGCCGTACCAGTTGAGATACCGGTACCACTAGTTTATTACTGTCTTTCCAGTTAAAATACCACTAATTTATGACTGTCTTTCCAGTTAAAATAACACTAGTTTATGACTGTCTTTCCAGTTAATATAACACTAGTTTATGACTGTCTTTCCAGTTAATATTCTGTCTATTTATTTTAACAGGTTATAGTTGATCCTGATTTTAAAAAAAAACAAAAAAACAAACTATTCAATTCATTTTAAAAAATTATAATAATTCAAAAACATGCTGTACCAATATTTTATAATTAAGTACAAAATACATTGTCAATATTTTCAAACCTTGCTGGTTTTCAATAAGTTTGAACCTTGACCAGTTTTTAGTATTATTTTAAATATCATGTGACACATAATAATATTTAAATGTGTTATTTTACTTGGAATGAATTTTTAAATGGCTTCTTTATTCAATGAAGCTATGATGGTCAGGCATGAATGTTTTTTTTTCTGTCTCTCTCCAGGTTTCAGTGCGTCCCCTTGAGCATACACAGTATGAAAGGTTTATACTCTCAGCATATCCCTACTACGCCAGTGCCTTTTCTATGATGGCGGGAGTCTTCTTACTTAGTCTTGTCTTTTTACATTATAAGGAAGATATTAAAGATAAGAAAGAGTAGCACATGTGCTATCAGTTGCATTTTTTAAAAATTATCAGTCTGTTTGAATGTTGTTTTATTGAGATGAGTAAAAGAAAGGAGCATTTCTTAGTGCTATAATTTTAAATTGAAACATTTCCATTTATTGTTTTTTTTTTTTTGTGTGTGTTTCAAAGTAGTAGCATCCATTTCAGTCCTTTCATTGGTTATGATATTTGTGAATGCTATACTTTTAATTTTAATAAAGTTATTAAATTAAACCGTTCATGGTCGCTTTGATTGTGTTAAACCATTAGACTTGCGCTTTCCACATCATACCCAGTTAAACCTATAAAGTTTGCCATATTAACTTCTGGTTCTAGCTGTGACAATGTCATTTAAATTTTACACAATTTACTATAACTAATCAAAAACAAAGAAAAATAGGCCAGCAAAAACCTATTCACCTTATGTTCTTCCGTGTTAAATCATGTATAACTTAATGTATCAGAGTTCAAAAGCACTTTTTAATGGCATGTGAAAGACCAAAATATAGTTCTTTTTCTTTGCTTCTGTGAGTTCCATTGGCCACTACCGATTCCTTTCCAAACCTTCCAGTCTCATCCTATCTTCTCTAAGCTTTCCAGCCTCTACCACATCCTTATTGAATCTTCTGTGCCAGCTGTTTTGGGGTCCTTATGGCTTAAGGTATGGACCTATCCATCATTACCCTTTCTGGATCTCTTTCTCCACTGGGATTTGTGTTGTCATTGCCCTCTCTGCTGTGCCTGGGATTTGTGTTGTCATTGCCCTCTCTGCTGTGCCTGGGATTTGTGTTGTCATTGCCCTCTCTGCTGTGCCTGGGATTGTGTGAAACCTCATGATGTTGAGGATTTTACATAGGCAACTATTAAGACTATTCATGAAGTTCTGCAGGATTTTTACACTCCTTCTTGGTTGATCACCAGCTTTCTGAGCAACACGGCAGAAGAGACTCAATATTTTAGTTCAAACGTCTATTTTATTGTTTCTCACTTATCTCCATTGAGTTCCAAAATAAAACAAAAGCTCTTCTTGCCTTCTTTATACGAGACAGATGCCGCGGTAAGAATTCGGAGTTCTTTTGTCAGATTTAAGAAATTTACTATTTACAAAATTTGGTGGATGTGGTAGAGACTTATATGTTGTTGACATGCCGAACGAATTAGAAATCCCACTTGGCACAATATTACAGAAAGTTTACCACCCACAGAAAGTCAGTCAACTCATAAGTTCGTACTTTTAACCATTTATTTAACAGTAAAACACACACAGCAGTTCTCAAACTTTGGGTCGCAACCCCTTTGGTTTGGGGGGGGGGGGTCGAATGACCCTTTAACAAGGGTCGCCTAAGACCTTCGGAAAGCAGACATTCTCAACAGGGCGGAAGGAGCAAAGAAAAAATTTCGTGGTTGGGGGTCTCCACAATTGGGTCGCAACCCCTTTGGTTTGAGGGGGGGGGGGTCGAATGACCCTTTAACAAGGGTCGCCTAAGACCATCGGAAAGCAGACATTCTCAACAGGTCGGAAGTAGCAAAGAAAAAATTTCGTGGTTGGGGGTCTCCACAACATGAACTGTATTAAAGTAGAGCATGGCCATCTTCTCTGTATTCAAAATAGGGGACTAACAATCTGTGAAACATCTCAAAATACCATGTCTTATCTGCGTATCTATTTATAAATAATATATATATATATATATTGACATATCTGTAGTACAAATATTCATTACATCATTTAATTTTTTTTCATCAAATTGTATTTGAAAATTATGAAAAAACAACATGAACCTATTTTGTTGCTTTTTAAAGTTTTTTTGCCATAGTGTATATTAATTATTATAATGCAATCATTAAATAACTGTATGAATTAAAAAGACATAAAAACCACTGGATGAAGCTTGTAAACAGAATAGGAAACAGTGACCATATTCACTGCTCTATCAAATCCTCATTGCTGTATGTATTACTGATTATGAAATAAACAGTATGGAAAAAAAACAAATACTTCATAATAAAGTCCTTTTTTATTACAGCCATGTTTGATGGTATCAATACAAAGAAATATAAACATTTAATAGAAATCATACACTGAATGATTGCGTTAAGAAAATTTAACAACAAAGAATAGAGGAAATTTACATGAAAGTTATAAAGAAAGATCAGTAGCTAATAATCCATTAACTCATTTATCTGGTTAAAACTTGAACTTTAACTTAGCATTATCTTCAAAATATGTATTTCACTGATACACTGTTAAAGTAAATAGATCACGCCTTTCAGTACCAATATTAATTCCGATGAGATTGAAAGTCTCATTATAAGCAGTGGCTTAGCTAGGGGTAATGCAGCCCTAGGAATTAATCCGCCCACTTTCTCTAAAAAAAACAAAAAAACGCTCTGCATTTGGCCTAAAATTAAAATGTCCAATCTCCAAAAAGTTTTAACGGGATGGACCGACCCTTCGCCCTTCCTCTTACGTCTTTGCAAGAATGCCAGACAGCAGACTGCCCAAGCAACACATGTTTGGTGAACTCTTCCGAGGGAAAGCTCAACTGGTGGGCAGAAAAAATGCCTCAAGGACTGTCTAAAAAAAAAAAACTTCTCTCATATCCATGGATATTGACTTTGATTCGTGGTGAACTCTTGCTATCTTGTTATGGATCGTACAAGCTGGGCGTGTCAGACTCACTGTTTGAGTACAATCCCCCAGAGAATAAGCGCACCGCTCACGGCCAAAGACAGCGTACGGCAAGGAAGATATGAATCGGCTCAAATTAATCCAAGTTCTCCAATTAAGACCCAAAACCAACATGTGCCCTACGTGCGGGAAAAGCTTTCCAGACACAAATGGGACTGGCAGGCTGCCTTCGTACTTACCGTTAAATATAACATTGGTTATTTCCGTACGCGATTGACGAATAACAACAACGTCACTGATTGTATGTGGCTTTGATTAAGTTAGTGATTTTTTTTTTTCATGAATCCTATACAGCCATGTCAGATTCCATACGGTTAGGTGTGTAAGACCTGACTGTTAGACTGCCTTTTTTTTTTAAAGTCTATAATTTGATGTATTATGAGGCATTCCATTCAACCCACTGTTGTACAATAACGCATCGTGTAGCCGATTGACCTTTGCTCAGTATGATCTATCGACAATCACCAACTTCCATTCGCAAGTTTTGACTCAACAGTGTCATCTCTTTCCAATATCATCCTGTTAATGATTTTTTTCCTGACAGATAACAGCATAATTCCTGTGTAGTTTGAACATCCTAGTAGGTTGCCATTCTCTGGCAACGGAACAGCCTTAACTACAGCGAATTAACTACAACTTCCCGGTGCATAAACCACAACTTCACATATCCATCCAATTTTCAGGTTGTTAACCATTTTTGTAACATTCTGTTATTTAAAATCAAAATGTGCATGAGCAATGATACCATTTGCAATATAGAAATTCATTTTTCTCCCCTTGTTGGCGTTATTAGTTAAAAAAAAAATTGTTAGATCACCTAAAACTATATTACACCACTTGTTTACCACGACTTCCTAAAATGTATTTCGCCGACGACGACTCTATCGTCGACACCAAGGACAGCGTGGAGCTGGTCGACTTCTTGAGAGCAATCTGCCTCGCCCTTTTGAGCAGGTCCTTGTACAGCGTCAGCACCCGCCGATTACAGACGAAGGCGATGAAAATGAGGAGCCCCTGTGACGCGTTGAACAGGGTAAAGCAGATGGCCAGCGCGTGGCTGACGATGCACATCGGGTACGTGATCGGCTTGGCGAACGAGCTCAGGATGGACGAACTGATCCCGAAGATCCACGTGAACCCCATCACGGTGGACATCTTGACGTAGAGCATCACGTCCGAGCGGCCGGTCATTTTCTGGAAAGACGAATTGGAATGGCGGACCGTTATGCTTTTCTTCGTCACCTTCATCGTCCTGGAGATGCTCAGGATCGTCCTGGCGAAGAAAATACAGTTGGTCAGGAAGATGACCATGACGGGGGCCCCGAAGGCGACGAGCGTGGCCAGGGGTTTGGTTATCCAGCAAATCGAGGGGACGACGCCTTTGATGTTGACGTCACCGGTCGTGTTGCGGATGTCTTTGATTTCGACCTCGCCGTCGGGCGTGACGAGGTAGTCGTAGTCGCTGATGTTCACGTTGCCGTATTCCTCCTTGCCGTATCCGATGGAGACGTTGTCGAACAGATCAGAGAAGTCGATGAAAGCACAAAGGCCGACGATGACGAAGGGAACGCCCCAGGCGTAAGCCGCGTACCGGGGGAGGTAACGTCGCTTCTCGCGGACGTTCGGCAAGATGGAGACGTGGGCGAACGTCCTGAACACGTCATAGCTCATGACGTTCATCCAGAAGTGAGCGGCGAGAAAGCTAAAGTGTAGGCTCATGGCGACTGCGGAGCACAGCCACGGGGTCTCCACCAGGATGCCCTCGGAGAATATGATCTCCGCGGTCAGTAGCGCGAAGGTCAAGTTCATGGTGTTGACCCCTGGAAGGTTTCTGAGTTTCGAAAACAGGCAGTACGTGACGAGCACACAGGCCAGGGCGAACATGGAGACCCTCCCAAGAACCATGGTCATGTAACCTTCCACTCTTAGGGCGGTATCGAAGTCGTGGCTGCAGCCCCCGTATCGCGTCACGTGCGGGAGGAGCGTCTGCATGTTGTTGTTGAACGAGAGCGGCACGCAAATTTGCACACGGCCCGTGGACTCGTTGGCGACGCGATACGAAAACACGTCGTATTCCCTCTCCTCAAACACGATGGAGCGGTTCGACCCCGCGATGTAGTACTCGTTGCTCTCCAGATCGATCCGACTGCAGTCTCTTTGGCTGATTCTCGGCATAAAGCAGACGAAGGCGTACTTGGACATGTCCGTAACGTTCGTCTGGTTGGCTTTCTGACTGCCCGATACCATGATGTAGAGATCGAATCGGCCCACACCGATGTAAGAGTTCGTCTTGTTGATGTACATCAGCGTCACGTTGTCCACCGTCGTCATTGTGAACTCGTCGTCGTACACCATGTACTCCACGCCCCACGTGCAGAAGTCGCGCGCGTCCGCGACCACCTCGGTCTTATCGTCGGCGTCGATGACGTCCACGTTGTTGCCGTTGACCTTCAGCGAGAACCGCTTCTCCACGATCAGCGTGTTGATCTTCTGCAGCACGGTGTTCGTGCCGTCCTCGTTGGAGTGCGGGTCGTGGGGCGGCACCAGCACGAAGGTCACCCTCATAGTCAGGCTCTGGTTGATCAGCGCCTCCAAGATCTCCACACCGGTCATGAAGGCAGCCGTGGCCGCCAGATCCTGGGCCTGGAGAATTATTCTATCATTCCTGTTGTTGACGGGCTCGGAGATGTACAAGAAGTTCGTCCCGTTTTGAGTGATCAGAAACGTTTCGCTGCCTTTGACGAAAAATGCCGTCAAGGTACTGTTACTGGATTTAGTCTTTTGTTTCAGGACAGATTTTACCGGTTTGTATTGCACGTCCCAGACGTCATCTTTCTTGACGTCTCCCATGTACTTCCGCAGAGCTTTTCTCTTGAAGAGAGTGTTCGCCAAGAGCGACAACTGCCTCTGGGCATCGTCCATCTCGCCACTTCTGTCCGGGTGACTTCTTTCCTGAACCCTGGCATCTCCATTCGAAGCTTGCTCGGACAGATCAGAAATAATTTGGTCAATGTCCACTTGAGACCAGTCGATGCTGTCATGCTCCGCCAAGCGGCTCGTTTTGTGGGACGAGTTCTTCTTGTCTGACTTGACCCCGTGAGTCGTCTCGCCCGGCCGTGTGACGCAAGGGCTCGGGTGTGAGCCGTGCTCGTATTTCTGCCTGGCCTTGACCGTGCCGGTGCTGTAGGAGTCCGTGTTTGGCTTATTGGTCGGGGCGTTCGGCTCGTCGATCAAGGGCGGGAAGATTTGTTTGTACTGCTCCTCGGTCAAGGTGGTGACCTTGAGTGAGGTGGCGTTGGTGCTGCCGAAGTCGAAGGTGACGTTGACGTCTTTGATGCGGTCCATGCTGATGTTTAGTTTATCTGTGAGATAGAGAGAAGGAGAAAAAAATAGGTGGGAAAAAAAACACGAAATACACAGCCACGTCATCAACACTGACCATTTTAATTTTAAGATTTATACTGAAAAAACTTCTTGGTAGCTTTATAAAACAATAAAAATAATAATGACAACATTTTCACGACCTTCATGTTCAGATTAGTGAGACATTGACAGCTCACTTCTTGGTGACAGTTTCTCTCTTATAATTTTTGTGATGATCTAACCCAAATCTAATTACGTTTTTTTGATGAGATGAAATTGTGTCCGTGTTAAGCTTTCTTTAACAACTCAAACAAACTCTTTTCAGTTAACGTCTGAGACGCCCAGCGCAGGGCTAACCCTAATTGCGGAAGTAATCACATGCCACAGGGACCTTTACTTTTTTAAAGGGCTCCGTGACTTTTAGGGGCCCCGTGACTTTTTGGGCCCCGTGACTTTTAGGGGCCCCGTGACTTTTAGGGGCCCCAGGACTTTTAGGGGCCCAGTGACTTTTAGGGGCCCAGTGACTTTTAGGGGCCACGGGACTTTAAGGGGCCCCGTGACTTTTAGGGGCCCTGGGACTTTTAGGGGCCCTGGGACTTTAAGGGGCCCTGGGACTTTAAGGAGCCCCGTGATGAGGAGTCATACTTCTTTTTATTTTGGGGGTCATTGAATTTATTTGATTTGGAACGTACTAATCATGTATAGTTTTAGTAGTGATGGGCAAGTGAATAATACATAAACATAAATTATAACTTTTTACAATGACAGTGAATTGACCTACCAGCGATCTGGCGCTCCACATTGACGCTCATGTTCTGGAACCTGATGAGCAGGTAATCGCCGTAGGTGATGTTCAGCACGAGAGACACCAGGGCCGTTTGCTCAATGCTGTGAAGCTGCTGCAGATCAACTATGCTCTGGGGAGTCATTCATAGAATAATTGGGCGTGTATTTCATAGCAGGTAGATTTAAATCTATCGGTAATTTAAAGTCTGTAGTCAGAAGAATAACAAATTTTAAAAAGTTTGAAACATAGCGTGTAATGTAAGGAGAAAAAAAAATAAAATATTAGGCGCGTAAAACGCTCCGTATTTTTATGATAAAGAAACTCCAAAGTTTGCTTTAAAATAAATAAAACTCAATCATGTAAATCTCCCCAACATTGTTTCTTGACTAATATTTTGCGGATCGGCAACGTGAAGGCTTGCAGACCGGCGCCGGCCCACGGACCGCCGTTTGGTTAACGCTGATCTAAGCAATTATGACACTGAAAGATGTTTTGTTCACGGCTTACTGTCTTGAAAATTAAATAACACATAAAACCAAAGTTTTTCGTATAAATCCTTTATATGCATTTTTTTTTTTTTTGCATTTATGCAACTGTGCATCATTTATTAAGCAGCGGTTATGTAATTGGTTAGATAAACCACGTATCATATTTCATTCATTTACCCCTTCAAAAATGTATTTTATTCTAACTGCATACCCAGATACCGTCACAAATACGAAGCACGCAGCGACATCTACACAATGAATCTCAAAAGAAAAACACACAGCCAAGGAACAAATCATATTTCATTCATTCCCCCACACTCCCCCCCCCCTCGTGAAAAACAGGAAATGCGGATTTTTTTGGGGGGTTGGGGCTGAAAATTTGATAGAATGTGTTGTCATCCGCTTAGAGTCTATATGCCAAATTTCACCTCGATAGGATGACGGGCAATGGGTCAATTAGCCTTCCGAAGATGTTTGCCTCAGACAGAAAGACTCGAACAATAAGCGGAGTTAAGATGAAGGATTTAATAGAGAAGTCATAAGTCAAATAAACCAATCGAGGAGTGTGAACCACAGGATTCGGGATATCATAAATGTTTTTATAAATCTTAAATAACAATAGTCAAGTTCACCGTCGCCTCCAAGAGTTGAGTCTTTGAAATAATCTAATTATACCGTGACCGTCCCAGTTAACCATACAAACCATGGATGGCGCTGAATCTTTTGGTCTGCCGACGAATAATTAATGGAATAGTTGATATTTTCTACATGTTTTAATGAATGTAGGGACCATCCTCGCTCCATAAATTAAAAACCCCCCCCCCCCCCCCACACACACACACAACACACATCTCGAATTAAGACGGTTCGTGAATCTTCTCAAAAGCTCAGTAACATCAATCATCAACAAATATCAAGGGGGAGACGACCCATCTTTATGGGATGAATCTTTAAGGGCAAAATTTTTACCCCCCTCCCCCCTTTATTACCGAAAACTACGTCAAGATCTCAAAGTCCAATACACTTACAAAAACACTACCAAACACAATTAGAACAATGCCACATAATCATAAGTCATATACAAACACATACGCACAGTGGCGTTGCTTGGTTTAATGCCACCCGGGGGGGGGTCAAAATTTTGGCCACTCCTTCCATAAAGAAAACCCCCCTGCATTTGTCCGAACATATTGTCACTTCATTTTAAAGAAAAAGCGTTACCTGAGGCAACCCCCCCCCCCCGGGCCCCGCAACCCCTTCCTTCGCAACTGCATACTAAATAGTATTACACATACGGACTATGATGACACATAAACGAGAACACCTTTTTTAAAGAAAAAGCGTTACCCGAGGCAACCCCCCCCCCCGGGCCCCGCAACCCCTTCCTTCGCAACTGCATACTAAATAGTATTACACATACGGACTATGATGACACATAAACGAGAACACCTTCTCATTATACACGCACACACAGTTAGACACACACACGTTTAGAAACACACACACACACACAAACACACACCCACACACTTAGAACCCACACCCACACACTTAGACACACCCACACACTTAGGCACACAAGCACGCCCCCACTCACTTAGACACACCCCAATCTTACATCAGTTGGAGTGGAGTCGTGTCCCGTCGGCACGCACCTGTCTCCGACCAAGGTGTAGAACTTGTTGCAGGTGATCGGGCGGCACGTCTGGCTGTAGGTGTCGAACGTCTCCCACTCTCGGCACCTGACACACCAATACACGCGTGTCATTATTACACGTCTGTCAAACTATATATTTTGTGCACACACGTGACATCTCATCTATATTAATATAATATATAGTGCGCACACATGACATTACATCTATATTATTTAGTGCACACACATGACATTACATCTATATTAATATGTATAGTGAGCACACATGACATTATATCTATATTAATATATACAGTGCACACACATGACATTACACTTCATTACGTGTATATCAATCTATATTGAACACACATATGACATTTCATGTGCATCAATCTATACTGTACACACACACATGATTATGAGTTGCAGCGATTTGTCATTTGAGGGGTAGGTGTTTTACTGGCTGCACAATCAATGGTGAGTACAAGTGTATAGTTGCGTAACTGACTCTTTATCGGATACTATTAACAACATCAAGTAGATATCTAATTATGTGAATGACATAATCTAGAGCTTGAATGACGTTGTTGTAGATTGAGTGACGTAAGATAGAGTACGAATGACGTAATTAGGCCTAGGTATATAATTATATATTGAATTTCGTAGTAAGAGATTGAATGACGTAGTATATATATATTATATATATATATATATGGCATAGCATGACATTAAATAACGTAGCTGTCTTACCTCGGTATGTATTCCTCCAAGATTTTCGGCCCGGCACTGAACAGCAGGTGGGTGTCCCCCGTGAAGTCAAAGTTCATGAGGACGTTGAAGGACACGGGGTAGTCGAAACTGGCCACGTCATACGAGCTGCTCCCAGTTTTCCGAACGCCGGCCTGCTGCCCGTAGGACCGGCACGAGACTATGGTCTCCGGGACCGAGGGGACGACCTCCCTCTTGCAGTGGGGCGCCACCAGATACTCCTTGAGGGAGGTCGTGTTGGAAAGGTTGAGCAGCGCGAGACGCTCGTTCTGCGGGAAGTTGTCGCAGACGAACCGCGTGGTCCACGGCAGAATCGTACCGACGCCGTGGCACTTGGCGCAGAACACGTTGGCGTAGATCGCCCCGCGGTCATCCTGGACGGGCAGGAAGGGGAAAGCGTCCAGCGACATCATCGCCAGGTCGTTCCAGGCCTCGCACTGGATCCTCACGTCGTCCGCTGGCCAAGCCGAGGGGCACCCGACCACCAGATGCATCCATCGGACCGAGTTGTATCCGGTCACGTGTTCACACGACGTCATGTTTTCGGCGCCATGCTCCGCCGCGGCGGCTCCCGGAGCCACCGTCACGTTCTCTGCCGGGGTCCCTTCCCCCTTCGTCATTTTCCGCGCCTGCTGCGGGTGTTGGTTGGGGTACTGCTGCTGCGGTTGTTTACCTGTCGTGGTCGACTTGTGCGGTGCGGACTGGGCGCTGACGTAACGATTTCGGGTTTCAACAATGCTCTGCTCACCGGAGGCATTCCGGAAATACGACAGCTCTTCGTGCCCGGAAATGTGTCTCCGGAGATCCGTTAGAAAAGATCTGCTGTGAAAACTCACTTTCTGTTGCTTCAACAGTTGGAAAGTGCTAAACATCCAAACGTTTGTGTCGCGCGTGACGTCGCCCGACATTGTCAGGTTTCTGATCGCTTCTTCGTTCACCGATGCGTTATTTTTTATGTTCGGGTTTCGCTCTGAGCGCTTGTTGATTTTCTGAGCTAACCGTCGATCCTCTTCAACCTCCCCGGACACAGTATCATTTTGTAAATATAACTGTAACATCTCAAAAAGCCTATTTCGACTATGTTTAATTTTATGCCTGGAATGGGGTCTTTGCCTACCGTCCTTAACATCGGGGATGTCGTTTTCGTCGGCCGTCGGCAACTCCGGAAAGTCGTTTTGTTCGGCCAATGGGATCTCTCCGTGTCTATCCAATGGGACCGCCGCACACACAACCAGTAAACACACGGGGAGCCAGAAGATTTCCGCCATTTTGTTCATTATCTGCTCGGCTCGACTTAAAAACTAAACAAATATTTTTCCAATAATGAAGTTAACTGTTGAAAATTGTGTTCCTGAAATCACTATCAGAATGTTTAAAACTCTTGTTTATTTTTGTTAAACGTACATTTCTTCTATCCCTACTATGTACATTAACGACCCTAAGAAGGCTTAAGAACCCCCTTCCAGGGTTGCTTATGGTGGACAACCAGAGAAGACTGGTAACTCAATGTGTCCAAAGTTAATTTACAGCGAGCATCAAAATCTTAAATCCGGCTAACAGAATTCGGACAAGCCCAAATGAGAAGACATAAAAAAAAGTAATTTAAAAAAGCTACTAAATTAAAATTATTCTAAAAGTTAATGAGCACACAGGTTTGTATTTCTTAAGTTTTTTTTTGTTTTTTTTTTATAATAAAGCTGACATAGGAATTAATGTCGAAAACCATCGGTCGAAGATTGCTCCAAAGAGAGGTGGATCTTCCCCGAAATATGCCACAAGTTAATCTGGGTACGAATTTCTGCCTTAAATGTTTGTCATCCTGTGGTTGGATGTGATGGTCTAGACATCTTCAGTCAGGCATTTCACTGCATCAGTCTCTGAAGATTTGGAAAGAAAACGACAAGGATGAAATAATCTTTATTTTCTGTTTAATGGGTATTTATAGGTTGATGTTTGTGTATTAGTAGAGTTCTGTTTGTGTAATAATATAATGATGCTTAAATATTAATAAAGTGATGTTTGTGTATTAATAAAGTGATGTTTTTATATTAATAGAGTGATGTTTGAGTAATAATAGAGCGATTTTGGTGCAGTAATACAGTATTGTTTGCAAAATAAAGTGTTCTGACATCGTCTTATAAAGGGGTGGGCTGTAAGCCGTCTAAATCCGCCCAGTGATTTCCAGCAGTTGGTTAAGGACGTTGAACTTGGCAGGCGTGTGAGCAAAGAACACATACATTACTTAAATGGTAGAACATCAATCAAATATTTCCCACATTCGTAATTAAGTCATTAACATGCATGCATTTTGATCAGCCTGGATATTGAGTCAATCCCTGGATCTTGTGATCCTCCCTAGTTCTTGTGACCATTCCTGCATCTTGCGATCCCCAAGCATTCCTCAACACCACATAGACAAACTTCATAAGGCACAGAATTCAGCATGCAGACTCATTTTTAAATCAAAGAAACATGACAACATTCAGCCACACATGCGACAACTCCAATGGCTTCCAATATCCTCTCGCATCAAGTACAAGTCTGCCAATCTATGCTTCAACTCGTTCACTGACCCTCACTTTCCTGTCTATCTCTCTGAACTGTTGCTTCCTTACATCCCCACAAGACAACTACGCTCTTCAATTGACAATCGAACCCTCTCAATCCCAAGAACCAAAACTAAGACCATCGGTGAACGCTTCTTCTACTTCCATGCGCCCACGTTCTGGAACCAGATCCCCTTCCACATCCGTCGTTGTGAAACCTCACCCACTTTCAAAAAGTCCCTTAAAACCTATCTGTTTAGGTCCGCCTATGACCTGTGATGCACCCTCTCTGCCCTGCCTCATTTTCAGTCTCGGGTTGATCCTGTAGTATAGGCCAAAACGTGCCAAAGTGTCCTCGTTTTTATAGCCATTTTAATGTTTAAGCTACTGTTTCTATAGTCATTTTTAATATTGTAGTTACTATTCTAGTGTCTCTGGTTTTAAATTTTTATTTTACTTTAGCAGTTTAAATAGGTTACATGGTTTTAATAATTGTAAAGCGCTATATAAAAATGCCTAAATAAAAATATTTTGACAAAACACAAGATATTTCGATCCTCCCTAGATCTTGTGTCAATCCCTGGATCTTGTGATCCTCCCTAGATCTTGTGACAATCCCTGGATCTTGTGATCCTCCCAGGATATTGTGACAAACACGGGCTTTTGTGATCCTCCCTGGATCTTGTGCTCATAGCTTAATCTTGTGATCATGCCTTAATCTTTTGAACATACCTAAAATTTTGTGCTGTGATCTTTATCATGTGATCACATCCTAATCTTGTGATCACACCTTTATCTTGTGATCATAAGTCAATCTTGTGATCGTTGGTAGAACAAATGCAAAAAAAAAGTCGCATTCTTATCTCACCTTTCTCTCAACACCTTGCATTTAATTATTTGATTCACTTTTTAATTATTATTATTATTATTTTTTGGATTAGAGTTTTGTAATGTACTTTTAAAAAAATAAATAAATAACCGAAATAAAAACAGGAGTATGTCATTGGTTATGTAGGTCAGCTCCAATTGTTCAGAGATAAGGAAGTGGGGTTGTAGGTTCGTATTACGACTCGCAGATTGGCCTAGTCAGTCAAGCAAAAACTAAATGTGTTTGGACGCTTGTCTTGTGCATCACCCGCCGACTTAAAGAAATAACAAGGGGCCTTGGCGAACTCCTGTTAGTTTTGTTAAATATGGGTGGCCTATAGAATTGAAAGGGAACCCATGAACTTTTCAATAAATAAAAGCTAATTGAGTAATAAATTATTCATTTTTATGCTTGCCATTACTATACAGTGGGGGGGGGGGGGGGGGTAGACAGGGGAAACACCGCCATGGGTGGGTCGATATCTCTGTCCTCCCCAGAGGCGTAGCGAGGCATGGGGCAGGGGGGACAGATGCATCCTGGCGCCAGCTAATTAGGGGCGCCATAATGTGCTTTGATATAATATTATTGATGAAAATAATGGCTTTGAGAGTTGAAAAAAAGAAAAGGAGGCGCTTTAAGATGAATCTTGTCACCGGGCGCCAAATACTATAGCCTCCCTCCACCCTCCTACGAAAAACTTTGCAGTTAACTGAAAATGCCGCCCAAAATATGTATTAAAAAAGTGCTCCTTACGTCCCTCCATTTTTTACGCCACTGCAAACGCAGAAACGGAACACTTGTGACCAGATAATGAAACTGTGCACTTAGTGGTTCGTTGGTACAAAGGTTACTGTTTATATGTAAAAGCGAGGAAGTGGGCTTGCTAGTGCCGCTTTGGGGTTACCGGAAATTTGTTCGAAAGAAATTTCGTCGACGGAAAAATTGATCGACGGACTTTTGATCGAAGGGAAATTTGATCGAACGGAAGTTTTGTCGAACGGAAGTTTGGTCAAATTATTTTTTCCAGTTCACACGATCAAATTTTGCGTCAAATTTCTTTTTGAACGCACTATACTATATAGTAAAACAAAATAATGCGTTCAAAACGAAATTTGACGCAAAATTTTATTATGTGAACTGAAAAAAAAAATTTGACCAAACTGGATAGCGCGCAAAATATAATTCCCGATAACTACGCTAAATGATTTTTTTTTTTTTAAATAACGCAACTGCGTTTGGTGCGTAATATCTTCTTTTCTTTTCGGAAAATGAAATCATCTCAATTTAAATAATATGGTGTAATAAAGATTCGGTTTAAAAGTGGTTGGGACATGAGAATATTGATATAAGTCTTGGGCGTGAAATAAAAAGTGTGCAGTGACGTATCATGCGGGGGAAGGGATGTATCAAAAATTAGGATTCTGAAATATGCGTTATTTGAGTTGATGATTTGTCAAGTAACTTTAGTAGCAGAGGCATGGCTAGAGTGTTTGGCGCCCCGGGGGACAAGATTCATTTTAAAGAGCCTCCCTTTCTTTTCAACTCTCAACCCCGTTACTTTCATCAATATAATAATATCAAAGAACATTTTGGCACCAATAACTAGTCTGGTGCCCCAGTTGCATCTGCGCTTCTCTTAGCTACGCTTCTGGTTTAGTAGATGGGAAGTTCACGCACTGCTGTCGTCAATGTTCGGCGAGCTATAACTAGTTATTGATATTACTTTTTTGAATTAAGTATTGAATTAAGTATTCTAAAAGAGCGCAAATGACGTTGAACGATTCAACTGCCTAGTGATTGGTTTAACCAGAACAGAAATTATCTAATCTATTTTGAATCGTGCATTTTAAAAAAAAGTTGCGACATTTTAAACCATTAGACTATTACATCATTGTAATGCCGTCAAATGTACATTTTTATGAAAACCTATATCTTTTAAATTAATTATGTTAGAGCTTTCAAGCTGCTTGTAAAACAGCCAGGAATGCGTAGAACAAACTCAATTTTTCGGGGTTGATTCCTTGATAGAAAACAAACATTTTTTAATACAGGAATTAGTAAAAACTTATTTTAAAAAAAAACAACCATCCAATGTAATAATTATCATTTTTTTTAATGAAGTTACTAAATGCGAGAAGCTTTGATTTGTTTTGTTTTTTTACATAGCATTTATCTAAAATGTTATCTTTGAAATTATAGTTGAAAGCGATTGTTGATTGTACTGTGACAATCAGCCCCCCCCAACCTCCCACGAAATTTGAAACGAAGTAACTCAAACAAGAGACCATTTTTACGTTGAAATTATTAGTATTTTTTTTTTTTTACATTGCACTGGGTTGTTCAAGAACATAATCTTTATTAGGTTTCAAATCTAAAATGATTATTGTGGTATTTAATAAAAAAAAAAAAATAAAAATAAATTATTACTTAAACTTTAATAAAAGAAAAAGAAATCATAGTAGTGAAATAATTTCTTACCATGGTCAAAAAAACAAATTTAAAAAAAGGAAAATCTCAATATCTTTTTAAATTATAAAAAAAAATATTGTAAACGCTTTAATGGTCTGAAAGGAATTATGATTACTTAATAGTTGTGTACTGAGTTCAACATTTAAGTTGTTCGCATCTTTCCTGGTCTTTATAATATAGTCTATCAGATAACCTTCCCTCCCATCTCCCTCTAGTTTTTGTTATGTTGTTTGTCCTTCGCAACCGGTGAGTACGCATGAGGCCTGTGAGTCAGTCCTGTTTGTGCTTGGAAAGCTTGCCCGTAAGTAGGACACAAGAGTATTAAAGTCCTTAGTCAATTCCTTCAAAGGTTTGCTGGTTCGTGTGCAAAATCATACAGTTGTATGCAAAGTTTTACAGCATCAATTTTTTGGTGTGCACAATTTTACAGCTCACAAACTCAAACACACACTTGCATAGAATTTTGCTGCGCGGATACTCAAAACTGCTGCGCGGCGTCTGTGAGTTAGCTGCGCGGCCGCGCATTTTTAAGGGAACATTGGTCCTAGTGTATTTTGGGTCACTTCTGCCTTTTCCTTGGTGTGCGCTTTCTTTGTTTTACTAAAGTTAATGATAAACCAGCATAGAGATTCTCAAATTGTTGAGAATTAATTGGCATCCACCTGTGAAGCTACTGTAAACACAAACGAAGGAGTGCAATCTCAGAATAGAAACTTGGGAGTTTGTATGGTGTTTCACTTAGCTGGGGGGTGGGGGGTGGGAGGGGCGTTCCATCTGATGGCACTTTTTATATGGAGGGCGGAATTTTCGGCAGGCTGAAGAGTTCTTTTTTCGTCGAACGGGTGGGGCCCAAGGGGGGGGGGGCAAAAATTCTCTATCAACCCCCGTTGCGGAAATAAGCCTAGCTACGTCACTGAATGTAACATTTCAATTGAAATTCGAGTATCTGTCTGTGTGTCGGACTGTACTATTTATTATCAAGAGACGAGTGTCTGTCTGACTGTAAAATTTAAATTAAAAGACGTGTGTCTGTCTGATTGTAGCATTTAAATTAAGAGACGTGTGTCTGTCTGCCTGACTGTAACATTTCAATTAAGAGTCGTGTGTCTGTCTGCCTGACTGTAACATTTAAATTAAGAGACGTATGTCTGTCTGATTGTAACATTTAAATTAAGAGACGAGTTTATGTCTGCCTGACTGTAACATTTAAATTGAGAGTCGTGTGTTTGTATGATTGTAACATTTAAATTAAGAGACGTGTGTCTGTCTGTCTGACTGTAACATTTAAATTGAGAGTCGTGTGTTTGTATGATTGTAATATTTAAATTAAGAGACGTGTGTCTGTCTGCCTGACTGTAACATTTAAATTGAGAGTCGTGTGTTTGTATGATTGTAATATTTAAATTAAGAGACGTGTGTCTGTCTGCCTGACTGTAACATTTAAATTAAGAGTCGAGTGTCTGCCTTATTGTAACATTTAAATTAAGAGACGAGTGTCTGTCTGTCTGATTTTAACATTTAAATTAAGAGACGAGTGTCTGTCTGATTGTAACATTTAAATTAAGAGACGAGTGTCTGTCTGATTGTAACATTTATATTAAGAGACGAGTGTCTGTCTGATTGTAACATTTAAATTAAGAGACGAGTGTCTGTCTGCCTGACTGTAACATTTCAATTTAGAGACATGTGTCTGCCTGATTGTAACATTTAAATTGAGAGCCGTGTGTTTGTATGATTGTAAAATTTAAAATAAGAGACGTGTGTCTGTCTGACTGTAACATTTAAATTAAGAGACATGTGTCTGTCTGAATGTAACATTTAAATTAAGAGACGTGTGTCTGTCTGATTGTAATATTTAAATTAAGAGACGTGTGTTTGCCTGATTGTAACATTTAAATTAAGAGACGTGTGTCTGTCTGATTGTAGCATTTAAATTAAGAGACGTGTGTCTGCCTGATTGTAACATTTAAATTAAGAGACATGTGTCTGCCTGATTGTAACATTTAAATTAAGAGACGTGTGTCTGTCTGATTGTAGCATTTAAATTAAGAGACATGTGTCTGCCTGATTGTAACATTTAAATTAAGAGACATGTGTCTGCCTTATTGTAACATTTAAATTAAGAGACGTGTCTCTGTCTGACTGTAACATTTAAATTAAGAGACATGTGTCTGCCTTATTGTAACATTTAAATTAAGAGACGTGTGTCTGTCTGATTGTAGCATTTAAATTAAGAGACGTATGTCTGCCTGATTGTAACATTTAAATTAAGAGACATGTGTCTGCCTGATTGTAACATTTAAATTAAGAGACGTGTGTCTGTCTGATTGTAACATTTAAATTTAGAGACGTGTGTCTGCTTGATTGTAACATTCCAATTAAGAGTCGTGTGTCTGTCTGCCTGACAGTAAAATTTAAATTAAGAGACGTGTCTCTGTCTGACTGTTACATTTAAATTAAGAGACGTGTGTCTGTCTGACTGTAACATTTAAATTAAGAGACACGTGTCTGCCTTATTGTAACATTTAAATTAAGAGACGTGTGTCTGTCTGATTGTAGCATTTAAATTAAGAGACGTGTGTCTGCCTGATTGTAACATTTAAATTAAGAGACATGTGTCTGCCTGATTGTAACATTTAAATTAAGAGACGTGTGTCTGTCTGATTGTAGCATTTAAATTAAGAGACATGTGTCTGCCTGATTGTAACATTTAAATTAAGAGACATGTGTCTGCCTGATTGTAACATTTAAATTAAGAGACGTGTGTCTGTCTGATTGTAACATTTAAATTAAGAGACGTGTGTCTGCCTGATTGTAACATTTAAATTTAGAGACGTGTGTCTGCCTGATTGTAACATTTAAATTGAAAGTCGTGTGTCTGTCTGTCTGACTGTAACATTTCAATCAAGAGTCGTGCGTGTGTCTGTCTGACTGTAACATTTCAATTAAGAGTCGTGTGTCTGCCTGGCGCTAACATTTCCATCAAGAGTCGCATGTTCTTGTAATCAGACGCCTGCTGTCCTCTTATCGCTGGAGGACTCTTCAAGCGAGTGGAAAGGGCTCGTTTCTGCGAAAGTTTCGTTTTGCAATACACGACAAACCATGTCTTTCTTTCGAACTTCTGTGAGGAGTGGCGATCATGTTAGGGTCTGGGGAACGGGAGATCACTATACACATTTGGCTGTCATTTAACTTGGCGATCATGTTAGGGTTTGGGGAACGGGAGATCACTATACACATTTGGCTGTCATTTAACTTGGCGATCATGTTAGGGTTTGGGGAACGGGAGATCACTATACACATTTGGCTGTCATTTAACTTTTAAGATAAAAAAGAGGGTGTGGGGAACGGGAGATCACTATACACATTTGGCTGTCATTTAACTTTTAAGATAAAAAAGAGGGTGTGGGGGAGGAGCTGAAAATTATCTTAAAATTCTGCTCTGGTTTGAAATAGTACGCTTTTTTTTTGACGAAAGGTCTAATGGCCGGGGAGAGGCGGGGGGGGGCGCTACACATTATCTTAAGATTCTGCTCTTGTTCGAAATATGCTCTTTGTCTAATAGCCGCTTAATATGCCAGTTAAACTAAAGAAATTGGTTTACTTTGTCGTGGAACCATTTAAAAAAAGGGTTAGGTTATATTTTGTGTTGAAGTTGACGTCCGGTTGATGAATAAATAATAATAAAAAAAAAAAAGATATTGCCATTCAGATGTATTTAAATCATTTTATTTATGGATGAGACTTTAACAAAATAATAAAAAATTCAAGGTACGTTGAGTAAATGACATTCTTAAACTTAAAGTGAAACCACACTGCCAAATAAGAAAAATAAAAAAAAAAAATAATAAACATTTATAAGCATTTTGTGTTGTTTTTAAAAAAAAATAATTAAAAGAAAGGATTACATTTCAACCCATTTTTGCATGCGAATAAAAAAGATATATTACAATAAGAATAGTTTAACCTTATTAAAACAATTTTTTTTTTTAAATATTGCCTTCCGATGTAGCATTTTTCTTCTATCTATTAATTAAAAAGGTAGATATTTTCCACATTATTTTTATTATTATTTCAACCCCAAAAATACGTACGCAAATCATGTTAACCATTCTCTTGTTTGAAATGTCAACATTATTCCATCAGCTGAAAGTAAACAAGTCCCTTCTTAGCGCCACAGGTTGTCCTCGAAAATTAAAATCAATAAATTCACTTTTATCTTAAACACTATTACTGCAACCGAACATCAGTCGAAAGAAAGCCCACCTTAAAAACAGACGATCGAAACATGAATCCTCTACAAAGCGAAACAACACTTGGTTACTAATCACTTTCAGTTCCAACACACAGTTTGTAATCATCCCTGTGCAATGTTGACCGTCGAAACGTGAGCCAATCAGAACAACCGCTTAGATTAGGTACGCGATTTAAAAAAAAGACGTTTTTTTAAAAAAATTAAAAAATTCGTTACTTGTTATGTAATTACGATTGTATTAGGTTAACCAGAGGCTAGAGCTAAGAAGTCGGCAAGGTTAAAGAAAAAAAAAAGATTATGTTCATATACATTTGATTAAATACAGGAAGGAAAGGCTGACCAGTTTTGTAAGCAATCTATGGCGCCATTTAATTTTAGACTATCACTTGTGGTGAAACGGGCAGACGAGAGTGTGAACTGCTACATTGTATTACATTCTAACATTGGTGAAGCGATTCTCTAAATGGGTGGGAGGTGATGACGTATGGTCATGGTGAGAGCTACCACTAGGCTATTTAATTGTGTGTGTGTGTGGAAAAAGGGGGGGGGGGCTTATGACTGACTACCATTTAGTTATTTGCATCATAATTCTAGAAAGCAATGGTAGAGTTAGAACAGATGTTGAGGGGGGGGTGGGGGGGGGGGGGGGGGGACACTAAACGTTTTGAAAGACAATAAACAATTTGCTTTGTCGCTGTTACCTTTATTGAGCTAAGCATTTTCTCTGGCCACCAAGCCACCCTACGTCTCCCCCTCCTCCAGCCCCCCCCCTTCCCCCAACAAGCACACTAGTATAGCCGTAGGCTACCGCAGGGTCATTTTGGAATGCCCCGACCATGGTCGCTAATGTAGCAGGAAAGCCGGCGAGAGAACCGACCAAGAGTGAGTTCGGAGTTCCAGAGTAACCCGCAGTCCCTGAGCGACACCTAGCGGAACCTCGGCGGGAAGTGACATGTGGTGCAGGGAGATAAGGGAACTTGTACAGGTGAGTTCAGACGCTTGGATTCTGGACAGCTGACAATGTCGGAGACACAATAAATGGGTGTGTGTGGGGGTGGGGGTGGGGGTGGGGAGGGATGGGAGTCTGGAAGGGGTGATCAAAATTAATTTGTCCGTGGGCGGAAGATAGGATTGGAAGCCGACGAGTTATTTACAGTGTTGTGAAATGTGTGCAGTCGCTCGTGTCCAGAAGGTGCTGGCTTCCATAATCACAGTGTTAGCGCCTGCACTGGAGATCCTTGGCACGTGCACATAAGACCATTGCACATGCATTCACGATGCTTGCACATGCTGATGAGATTATTGCACACACACACACCACAAGATCATTGCACCCATGCACAAGATCATTACACACGCACATAAGATATCTGTTCGCGATGTAAATATCTTAACACACGCACATATTGACGAGATCACTGCGCAAGCACATATGATAATTGTGCACACACATAAGATCATTGCGCACGCGCATAAGATCACTGCAGACGGGAATAAGATCATTGCATACAAATAAGATCAGTGCACATACATAAGATCATTGCACGCGCGCATAAGATCATTGCACACGCGCATAAGATAATGGCACACGGGATTAAGATCATTGCATACACATAAGATTATTGCACACGTGCATAAGATCATTGCACCTACATAAGATCATGGCACACACATAAGCTTACTGCACATGCACATAAGATCATTGTGAACTCACAGAATGTTCTTGCTCATTCAGAAAAAAGATATCTATCCCTAAACAGTTTGACGAATCCCTTTTAGGCAGCAAATATTTTAATTTGTATGACTATTACATACTACCTGTTCGGCATTATAGTGGCTATATAATACCAGTTCGGCATTACAATGGCTATATAATACCAGTTCGGCATTACAATGGCTATATAATACCAGTTCGGTATTACAATGGCTATATAATACCAGTTCGGGATTACAATGGCTAATTCGGCATTACAATGGCTATATAATACCAGTTCAGCATTACAATGGATATATAATACCTGTTCGGGATTACAATGGATATATAATACCAGTTCGGCATTACAATGGATATATAATACCAGTTCGGCATTACAATGGCTATATAATACCAGTTCGGCATTACAATGGCTATATAATACCAGCTCGGCATTACAATGGATATATAATACCTGTTCGGGATTACAATGGATATATAATACCAGTTCGGGATTACAATGGTTATATAATACCAGTTCGGGATTACAATGGCTATATAATACCAGTTCGGCATTACAATGGCTATATAATACCAGTTCGGCATTACAATGGCTATATAATACCTGTTCGGGATTAGAATGGCCAAATAATATACATACGTTACAAGTTTTTCAAATGAAAAAAAAAATAGTGCAGAGGCCAGTCCTATAATTTATATTTGATTGTCAGCTGCAATTATTGTAGTTGTAGGACACGTTCCATTTGGGG